GGACTACCGTGCCAGAGCTATCAATTGCGCTCTGCACTACCTGAGATTGTCTCACTAGTTGACTGTGTAAGTACTCGTTTTATACAGATCCGGGTGTGTACTAGACCCTGTGAAATCTCTATTTGATTCTTTCTTGTTAATCTGCAATCTCTTAAGCCTAGGCACAGTTTTGGGGTTCTTTATCTATTGTTTCGTTTGGCCAATTACTTTGAAATTAAAGCTCTTCCTGCCGTTCTTGAAAACTTTCGTTGCTTCAGATTAACTTTTCCCGGTCTTCTTTCCGCGTCAACCAACTGCCACTGAGCCTCCGAAGATGAAACAAGGTTCAGGTTTGGAGTCGTTTGGAGGATATCTCTCGCAAAAGGGAGCCTGGGCAGCGTGCATGATCACCGGTTTTGGTGAACTCTTAGGTCAACTCTGTATTGTGACCCGCACGTAAAGCGACGAGCGACAATTAAAAGTTCTCAGACTTACTCCCGCCGAGGATGACCGTTTCCTGACCGTTACATGATAGGGAAACCCACGGCTTGGTAGCCGTGTTTGAAATGACGTGCAGTATTTCTCGTCATAGAAAACATCATAAACATGGCCGAAGAAAGGTATGAAAATGATATATTTTGAGCTCATAAATTCCATTTACTGTACGTTTATGAACATGACTTTGCTCAAATCATATGCTTGTCTCTTGTTTTAGCGGCGGAGCGAGTTGGTGGGGGACGTGGGGCTCAGAATTCATCTCGAGTGTTCGCGAAAAGGTGAGCTGAAATGTCGCACAAATTTAAGCTTAAGCGTTTTATTTGGAGGACAGTTTGCGCATGTAAAGCTCTGTAAAGCCTATCCACGCTTGAAGGATTTATTTCCAATCTGTAAATATAAAAAGTGACTTGTAAAATGTCAGTTTCGTGAGCCTCATTACATATTTTCCAGTAGCACTGACTGGGTCAAAATAATTAAGCTTAAACGTGTCCAAAAGCTACATATCCTGTCAGATACGAGTTAATGAATAATAACTTGTTAGATACTAATCAGTTCAATTTACCATTATACGCTTCAGTGCATGGTATTGCTGTGTTTACATATTATTTTTAACTTGTTCCCTTTTGTATTAAGCTTGATACAGTCACTGTGGTACCTCGATTCAACGAAGGGCCAGAGGACTGGCAAAATATGTTCGCCAGTCATGTCGTTGTATCGAGGTTCTTTTCCATATATTTCACTGTTGCTGGGATGAAGAATATCGTTCGTTATACCGAAGACTTCGTTATGTAGAGGTTCGTTAAATCGAGGTTTCACACGTCATGTAAAGTGGAAAACATGTCAGCAAAAACATATTTCCTTCTCATTTTGTGACCAACAATTTTCTAAGAGCTGATTAAGATGATACAGCTCTATCACATATTTGAAAAACTTTTAATGTGATAAGCCTAGGACATATCCTGTTTCAAATAAATCAAGACTACAGCTTGCTTACACGTACATTTTGAACACGAACGGTTGTACAATTTAGATTGGGAAATGAATTAAAACCTTACAACAGGTATAGTCTCAATGATACATGACCTGCCCTTCATGAAAGTATAAAAGCTGCATGCAACAAATTTGTAGCGCAGTCTAAATCAGCACTAAGGCACATCTAAGAACCTTCTGTATCAGTCCAGGGTGTAACAATTTTGTAAACTACAGTTAACTTTGTATTTCCACACAATATTTATTCTCAGGGCTGCCAGGGTACAATTCAAAGATTGACACCTTTAATTTTCTTAATTTTACCAGTCTTCAGAGGCTATGTCCATGGTAAAACAAGATCTTGCTGAGTTTGTGAGTACCATTCAGCAAGACACGTCAACTGTGGTAGCTGATACTGCTACTGCTGTCAAGGAAAGCCTTAAGGTACATGTATAGTACAACACCTTTTAATTTTCTCTTGTCAACTAGTTAGTGCAAGAGCAATATGCAAAGCATGACGTGATTTGTTTCTTTATAAATTTGTCACATCCTCTTAGGCAGCTAAACAAAATGAAATGTTTAGTTGGATAATAAATCCCTTATTTGATGGTTTTGCTTCCAGGCATTTCAGTAACATCTTTGTTCTTGTATTTTTCCTCTTCCATACAATGCTTGGTGAGGAATGCCAAACATGCATGCATGCAAATTTTACTTGTATATGTGTAAAGCCATCAATATTTAACAATTAGATTATGAGCTTGAGATGTCTATTGTATGATACATGTAGTTGACGAGGGTGCAGCATGAGTCAACTATCATGCATAGAAATCGAGAGTGAATAATCTTATTGTTTTACATGTAGTATCAACCTACTAGTCATTCAAAACTGAAGCGGAAGCAAGCGTACTCTGCTATGCTACATGTACTCACTATCTACAACAGAAGAGAAAGTGAGTAGCATAGCCAATCAGAGAACTGTATTTGTGATAGAATACTATTAGATTTATACTAATTAACAATTAGATTATGAGCTCAAGATTTCTATGAAATAAGAAATTGAGAAATCATAGAAGTTGAGAGTGAATAATCTAATTGTTTTTGGTAGAATTCTAACTGAAATTTCCATCTAATGATGATTCCAATTATTTCTGGTCTCAGTATTAAATAAACTTCACGCTAAATAGGGAATTGGCACAGACTGAATTAATTGTCAATTTGACATTTGCAGCTGTGTACGCACACTTACCATTTTCTTTCAAAAATTTTGAGTTTTTTTAATTCAAGAAACCGTAAACACCCTCCTTTTAGTCTTCTCAGGAATTTTGTTTCTAAATTCATCTTTCAAAACTTTGGAGAAATGAGGAAACGTTGCAATTTTGTCGACCACACCAAGCCACTGCAAACTAATTGCTGATAGTGTGCAATGGCTCAGCCAATCAGATTACAGCATTTGCATTAGTATACTAGTAGAATTCTACTAATATCAGATATAATTTGTTTGTAAAACTACCTATAACGCTTGGTGAGAAATATCATGCAAATTTATGAAAATATTATCTGAAAATGATTCTTTTGAAGAAAACTTCAGTTGACAGAGATCCCAGATTTCCATAACTCTTACATGTAGCTTAAGTGACTGATATTTGTGGTTACGTTTGATGTGCAATGTGTGGTTAGCGTTATTGGTCTTGCTTACCAGGTAGAGGAGGAGGAGGAACAGGAAGGGACCTCGGCATATTTTAAACAAGGTATAAGTATTATTCTGAAATCCTTTTCAACCACAGTTGTATAGCAAGCAGCTATTTAATATGTAAGCAGTTGCCCCAGGTGATTAGATTGCTTTATCTCCAGGAACTGTATGTGTCTAAGTTTTCATATATTGATATGCTGATAACTGCTAGAACTGACAGATTAATAACACTGTCTTCTTCTTTTTCACCCTTAAGGTGTGTCCAAATTTCTTGGGACTCTGTCAACCAGCTTAAGAGAGAACATCTCCCATGTAGCCACTGCTGCTGCAGGTGTCACCTCTGATGGTCCTGAGCTGGTCTTTGACAGAATGCAGGTACTTGTTCATACCAGTATTCTCTATTTTTCATTGAATTTTTCATTATGAGCTTAAGTCAACTTCCTCCAAGGTGGGCATGCACAGGACTGCTGGTGTATTATCTAAGTGCCTAACTTAGTGCCAGGCAGAACAGGCAATTAACAAACAAGTAAAGTTGTAACATATCCCTTGCCCTATATCTTATTTCAGTGATTTAATGCTGCTTTCAAATTCTTTTGAAAGGCACGTCTTCATGAAATTCAGACAGACCCAGCCACATTTTGTTCAGAACCAGATGGTACGTATTACTATTTTTTTTAAATACCTTTTAATTAACACTTTTAATGTGTATAAAGGCTTGCGCTTGTACTGAAAAATCAATTCACTTAATAGTTAATATCACTCATAAGACAAACACACAATTGGCTCTACATATAAGTAATGTTCATCTTGTTGACACTACTTTTGTTTCTTGGAGCTCTGTTTATCTCTTACCTTAAAAATGTACCTCTTTTCCCAGATATGTCTTCTGATCAGAAAGAAGCCTCTAGAGGCAAATGTAAAACCATTAGTTTCATTGATCTGTAAATTAGTCGTGAGAGTTTGCATTACTGGCTTAACATCATAAACCGATTTAGAAACAGAGAATAAAACACAATGGGTGATAGGAATAATCTTTCAAAACGTCAACTAAACAGTTAGATGTACTACAGAGAGAAAATTTGATGGATATGTTTAAATTTCTATTGATGAGTTTTCACTGAATTCAATTTTGCACTGCACTCTTGTTAGGTCATCTAGCTATGTATGAAGAATGGTGTAAAACTTTTGACCCTGAACAACACAAGGGAGAAATATCTGAGTTGCTGGTTAATGTACCAGAGATCAGGGCTCTCTATGCAAAACTGGTGGGTATATGTGCATTGTTTTTCTACAATGATACATTGTTGTGTGTTAGTGTTATTCTTTTGGAAAATTTGTCCTGCTTCCTATGCACTGGTGTTTGTATTGAGAGAGGTGCATTGAAGGCCAAGACAGACTCACTGTGTTATATTCATGGGCAAGTCACTTTGCTCTCACAGTACCTACCTTCCAAAGTTCCAAACTGTCACCAAGTTTAACCTGATATCCTGTGAAATGAAGTCACTGACCTGATATGGCAGGATTTCTGGCCAAATGTGTGCATGGTAAATATCTACAACCCTGGCCTAAACATCATGTGACAGTCATGAAAATTAAGAGAGAAAATGCACTTCATTAAATAAATTCTGAATCCACCTCTTAAAAAAGGTTGGCCATGTTGTTTCAGTAAACCATTCTTTTGTTCCCCCTTCCCCAAGCAATGTTGAGTCTGACAAAACTGACTTCAATGCCTGACATTGACATTGCATCAGGGGGGAGGGGGAGGGGGAAAATACATCATTTTTACAGGTTATTAACTTTATGTCCTAAGAGTTCTGGCCAGGGTTGCAACCCTGGTCAAAACATCGTGGGACAGACTCATCAAAATCTGCCTGGTATGCTGCCAAAGTGTATCAGAAAGGTACAATTATAATATTATTAGGTACATGTATAAATACTAGTGATAACTTGAGGTTGTGACATTGATGGGTTTACACTTTTTGTGCAATTCCAGAAAATATCCATACTCTTCCCACAGAAGGCATTGGAATTT